TTATATCACTAAGTACTCCTTATATCACACAGTACATTATATCACCCAGCACCTTATATCACTCAGTATCTTATATATATGAGCATCTTTTATCACTCGGTATTTCTAATATGAATCTGTCTTCCTTATAACACTCAATACCTTCAATCACTCAGCACCTTATATCACTCAGCATCCTTATATCACTTAGCATCTTATATCACTGTGCACCTTATATCACTAAGTACTCCTTATATCACACAGTTCATTATATCACTCAGCACCTTATATCACTCAGCATCCTTATATCACTCATCATCCTTATATCACTTAGCATCTTATATCACTGTGCACCTTATATCACTAAGTACTCCTTATATCACACAGTACATTATATCACTCAGCATCCTTATATCACTCATGATCTTGTATCACTTAGCATCATATATCACTCTGTACCTTATATCACACAGTACATTATATCACGCAGCATCTTATATATATGAGCATCTTATATCACTCAGCACACCTTATATCACTCAGTTCACCTTATATCACTCAGTACCCCTTATTGCACTTAGTACCTCAGATCACTCCTCACCCCCACATACAGTTCGTTGCTGATGATGCAATAGTGTATACTTGCAGAGCTTTATCATGTTTCATACAGTCGTACATACATACAGTTTGTTGCTGATGATGAAACAGTGTATACTTGCAGAGCTTTATCAAGTTTCATACAGTCGTACATACACACAGTTTGTTGCTGATGATGAAATAGTGTATACTTGCAGAGCTTTATCATGTTTCATACAGTCGTACATACATACAGTTTGTTGCTGATGATGAAATAGTGTATACTTGCAGAGCTTTATCATGTTTCATACAGTCGTACATACATACAGTTTGTTGCTGATGATGAAATAGTGTATACTTGCAGAGCTTTATCATGTTTCATACAGTCGTACATACATACAGTTTGTTGCTGATGATGAAATAGTGTATACTTGCAGAGCTTTATCATGTTTCATACAGTCGTACATACATACAGTTTGTTGCTGATGATGAAATAGTGTATACTTGCAGAGCTTTATCATGTTTCATACAGTCGTACATACATACAGTTTGTTGCTGATGATGAAATAGTGTATACTTGCAGAGCTTTATCATGTTTCATACAGTCGTACATACATACAGTTTGTTGCTGATGATGAAATAGTGTATACTTGCAGAGCTTTATCATGTTTCATACAGTCGTACATACATACAATTTGTTGCTGATGATGAAATAGTGTATACTTGCAGAGCTTTATCATGTTTCATACAGTCGTGCATACATACAGTTTGTTGCTGATGATGAAATAGTGTATACTTGCAGAGCTTTATCATGTTTCATACAGTCGTACATACATACAGTTTGTTGCTGATGATGCAATAGTGTATACTTGCAGAGCTTTATCAAGTTTCATACAGTCGTACATACATACAGTTTGTTGCTGATGATGAAATAGTGTATACTTGCAGAGCTTTATCATGTTTCATACCGTCGTACATACATACAGTTTGTTGCTGATGATGAAATAGTGTATACTTGCAGAGCTTTTTCATGTTTCATACAGTCGTGCATACATACAATTTGTTGCTGTTTGTGCAATAGTGTATACTTGCAGAGCTTTATCACGTTCATACAGTCGTACATACATACAATTTGTTGCTGTTTGTGCAATAATGTATACTTGCAGAGCTTTTATCACGTTCATAGGGTCGCGCATACATACAATTTGTTGCTGTTTGTGCAATAGTGTATACTTGCAGAGCTTTATGACGTCCATAGGGTCGTACATAAATACAATGTGTTGCTGTTTGTGCAATAGTGTATACTTGCAGAGCTTTTATCACGTTCATAGGGTCGTACATACATACAATTTGTTGCTGTTTGTGCAATAGTGTATACTTTCAGAGCAGAGCTTTTGCATTTTTCATACAGTCGTGCATACATACAGTTTGTTGTTTTTTATGCAATGGGACAAATGTGCTCAGCATGTTCTTTCGTGCCATAGTACATACTTGCTGAACGTGGTGTTTTATGAAACAGAACATACTTGCGGAACGTGTTGTTTTTGTTGTTTCATGCAAAAGCGGATACCTGCTGAGTTTGTGGTTTTATGGATTAGTGCTAATTTGTGGGATGTTTTGTGCAACAATGCTGTACCATGAGACAAGCATTGTCCTGGTAAGTTACCTAAATACGACATTGTGTCGTCGGAGGTAGTTTTGCCATGCACAATTCTCTTTCCAATCACATGAAAAAACAAAAAGGTTTCTCATATCTGTAAATATTTGCCAGTTTATTGGTTAACAACAGGTGTGACCAGGCTTGAAGTGGGAGGTGCACGAACACGGCAAACGCTTTCCTAATGAACATCGACCCATCTCGCCATACTTACATCAATGTACGTAGTTTATCATATTTTGATAAAGAAAAACAAATCTTTAAACATTTAGTGTAAAACAGAAAAAAATATTGACCAGAAAATACTGATAATTGTGTGACAAAATTTTCTGTGTTGTAATAATATAAGACTAGTGATACTGCTAATTTTAATTATCATCTCCACTCAAATGTAACACCTACCAAATGCAATAACATCAAACAATTTTCAAATAAATACATATCAGACTACATATATATAGCGAAACCTCGTTAGAACGAACCCTGTGAATCCGGAAACCCCTCCTTCTGAACGCTCGTTCTGGGAACGCGATACACGTGCATAAACCAGGACATTTAATTGCCAGGACGATATCGCAAGGAACAGGACCGTCCGGATAACTGAGGTTTCACTGTATACGTTTGTCATACCATTTGTTCTGGAGATAAAATGGTATGCATGTGATGTTTAGAGACGGATATCAACTGATGCAATCTTGGCTATGTTCTCCATAGAAACACAAGTACATCACTACCCAAGTAAGGATAATATATATGGATGAACAACTTCTTTAACACAATTAGGAGCGACGTTTCGGTGTAGGTTGTAACACCGTTTTCAAGCAAGTGATGTAAAGAGTGTTGTGTTGTTGTTGTTGTTGTTGTTCTTGCATTAAGTGTTTAAGAGGTCGCCTTCTGCCTAAGCAATTTCGGCTGACCTGTCCCTCTTTGGGACCACTGTGTGTGAGTAGGTTACACATATCTATTATGAATTTGGAATTCACATAATTTCTGTTTTTGTATTGATATGATTTCTATTTTCTTACATTGATATGATTTCATTTCGTTTCGGTGTAGGTTGTAACACCGTTTTCGAGCAAATGATGTACAGAGTATGGTTGACAAGTATATATACAGGATAGGAGGCAGTGTTTATACAGTTGGGTAGGTTAAAGATGCAGTTGCACTGGCGTGGAGAAGCCTGTTATGTACACAGAAGGGTAGAACATGTTGGCCGGTGAAGCCTGTAATATAAACACGGGCGGAAACAAAACAGGCTTCTCCACTCCAGTGTAACTGCATCTTAAACCTACCCAACTGTATAAGTGAGTGAGTGAGTGAGTCTAGTTTTACGTCGCTTTTAGTAATATTCCAGCAATATCACGGCGGGGGACACCAGACATGGGTTTCACACATTGTACCCATGTCGGGAATCGAACCCGGGTCTTCGGCGTGACGAGCGAACGCTTTAACCACTACCCGACCGCCCCCAACCAACTGTATAAACACTGCTTCCTATCCTGTATATATACGTGTTAACCATACTCTGTACACCACTGGCTTGATAACGGTGTAGAACCTACACCGAAACGTTGCTCCTAATAGTAATGAAGAAGTTGTTCATCCATATATCTTATGCCTACTTACTCTGACTCCAACTTCTAAATGCCTCTCAAAGAAGTTACATCACTACCGGAAGTGGATATTTACAACGATTCGACTCTCACATTTAAAAGGTCATGTGAACTTGAAAAATACCCTCTGAAAATAGTATAGATATATGTTACATTCATACGACATTAACAAAAAGTCATGATAAGTTACTGACCACAACATATTGATTATTGATTATTGATCCTTCAGAATCGGGTATGCCTACCGGCCGATACTATCTTCAAAATTATCTACCATCCTCCAAACAGATGGAAACAATACTCACATTTGTAATGGATTATATTTCATTCACGATATACAATCATTAGGTATTACATATGATTTGTCTGTAAAACTCGAAGAAAGAAAACAATTAAACAACAAATGTATGTAAAGTGTCCCCCTCTGGAGCCTCAGTGTCCGGGCATATTTCAAAGATCCAATAATGAATTTGTTGTGGCCGCAAGAAATAAATACTACATAGTACATGAGAATGAGAATAAGCTGTAGATGCTAGACCCCTCTATCACCCGGGGATGGTGTTATATCCCTCTGTCTGCCAGGGGTGATGGTGGCATATCCCTACCTGTCGGCTAGTATAGCCCACTGTCACCTGGAGGCAGATTGGGGGCTTTGGGGTGTGGGGTAGGCGGGGGTGTGGTTGTATATCCCTCTTTCTGCCAGGGGTGGTGGTGTACCCCTCTGTCTGTCGGCTAGTATAGCCCACTACCACTTGAAGGCAGAGTGGGGGGTTTTGGGGGTCAGGTGTGGTGTGGTGTGGTGGTATACCCCTCTGTCTATCGGCTAGTATAGCCCACTACCACTTGAAGGCAGAGTGGGGGGTTTGGGGGGTCAGGTGTGGTGTGGTGTGGTGGTATACCCCTCTGTCTATCGGCTAGTATAGCCCACTACCACTTGAAGGCAGAGTGGGGGGTTTTGGGGGTCAGGTGTGGTGTGGTGTGGTGGTATACCCCTCTGTCTATCGGCTAGTATAGCCCACTACCACTTGAAGGCAGAGTGGGGGGGTTTGGGGGTCAGGTGTGGTGTGGTGTGGTGGTATACCCCTGTGTCTGTCGGCTAGTATAGCCCACTACCACTTGAAGGCAGAGTGGGGCTGTGGTGGGTGTTTGTGTGTGTGTGTGTGGGGGGGGGGGGGGGGGGGGGGGGGTATGGTGGTATACCCCTCCATCTGTCAGCTGAGGGATTGGGGTGCCAGGGTGGGGATTTGAGATGTACGTAGGGGTGGGGGAGATGGGATTGGGGGAGAAACCCCACTATCTGTCAGGTGGGGTAGAGGAATGTGCCTTGAGGCATCTAATATTTTAACCTGCATCCGGTTCTCTTTTGAGGCATCCTAGGGGTAAAATTGATATAATCTAAATTTGTGTTTTCAATTGATAAAAAGCTCTTATCTGATATCTGCATACTTTATTGAAAGCAGCCAGTGCGCATGTTCTCCGGTTGATTTGCATACAGACACGTGATACCCTTCCATCTCAACATTGATGCCAATCAGCCGACACCAGAGAGCGGTTCTCGCCACATACAGCATCAAAGCAGTGTAAGTAGTCCTACTTAGGATAAGAGAAATACTTGTTGTTTCATCAAAGTAATGTATTTAATTATCGATGGCCTCAGCGTCACTAACGCACATGACATAAGTATTCCTATCCACCATCACTTGTCATAAATACATTACCAAACAGTTCCAGTTCTACACTGCTGAAAGTTTAGTTCAGTGAGACATAGTGGAGCCAGTTCCCCACACATGATGTATATCCCTGGGATTGGCCTGAATGTCTCCACGTGACGATAGCCATCCTCATCACAAGGGCCCGGCGTATACCGTCTCTTGATAACTCTGCATCCTAACCTGGCGGTCCATGTCCTGCCTGCAGTCAGATTCTGTCCACACGTTCCCCAGGTGAATCTCAGGGTATAATTTCATCCGTATCAGATACAACACTCTGCATCCGCGCACTGCATGCTCCCGAAATACCATCTGATCGTCAGATTGCAGCCAGCACTGGTGGTATAATATCGGGTCACACTCACGGCTACACACACCGTTCATTCAAGTCAGTGGATCTAGACTACTTTAAATATCAGTCTTGATGGGGAACATGTGTCACGCGCCGTGACGGCATCAGTGGCAGGGGGAGGCAACTCCGACAAACAGCACTATATGTTAAAGGCAGCCCATGTACAGAGAGGGCGACACAACCCAAGCTGTTCTTATCACACGGTTTATCATCGTCACTACTTGCAAGTGTATTCCTCAGTCCGTTCACTGCATCGGTTACAGTTCACATAACAGCACCAGTGGAATTTGCAGTTGCACTGCCATGTTTTGGTGTACTGGTGCGTGTTATACCCCCTGCCACAACACATCAAGTCACATCCATCTGTGGTTATTGAGGTCCTGTTACACCGCCGCCCCACAGTACCCAGCGAACCAGTACTAGGGTCATGATCACAATAATTTGGCGATTTCTCTAGATAAACAAGATGGCTTCTGCGTGGCTTCCGGTGGGCCCGTTTCGAACGCTTAAGAATGAGCGACTTGGGCGTACTCGCCCTGCCCCCCCTATAGGGCACCACGAGCTTCGACTTTTTGTATCTCCTCTTCAAAGCGTCTCCAATTTTTCTAAAAGAGGGCAAGGTAGTCCAGCACGTCTTTGTGGTGCACGAGCCTGACACCCCGTGACATTTGCAGTCTGTGCCCATGTTGTCTTTGACAGCCTGAAACATATAAACAAGCAAGTATTACCTCCAGAGTCATGTTGGACACGAACGTGAGGCCTTCACTGTCTGTTGGTGGATAGGAGCTACAATAAGCACACACAAACCAGCAAGTATTACCCCTAGAGCCGTGTTGGCCACGAACGTGAGGCCTTCACTTTATGTTGGTGGATAGGAGCTACAATAAGCACACACAAACCAGCAAGTATTACCCCTAGAGCCGTGTTGGCCACGAACGTGAGGCCTTCACTATCTGTTGGTGGATAGGAGCTACAATAAGCACACACAAACAGGCAAGTATTACCCCTAGAGCCGTGTTGGACATATTTTCGCATCTTCTTCCCTCATCCGCAATATGTATATGATTCCGAAAATAAAACCACGTGATATAATATAAAATTCCGGAAATAGATACATATGTTTCTCCATGTACAATTTTCACTGCAAATCGTTTCAGGGTAATGTCAATTCAGGGTAATTAACTCTGTGTCGTTTGTGCATATGATTAGCGCTGGTTAATGGCCAACCTACTTGACGCAACATTCAACAGCAGCAGATGACGTTAACGTATTTCCGAGAATAGTTGTGGAATAACGAGTTCCAGCCAAACAAGGGTTCTTTCTACACGATTTTATTTCGATTGAATCAGTTTTTTTACAGCTACTTGACAGACCCACATTTTCACTTTTATAAGGATCACAACGATTTACTGTCCTACTCATGAGCCTGGTGGACAGAAGGTGACGTGGACGCCCGTCGGTGTGATGAGGAAACAAATACGTTCTACCCACGACGAGTATAATTCCTCCCTAGGACTGAGATGCGGCCCGCTGAGCCCAATATTCTAGATATAGCCAACGTGTATTCCGCAATGTCAGCCAAGCAGAACTAAAATACCTCCAGAGAATTTACAACTTTTAGAATGTCAACAACACGATATCGTAAAGGCGACCAATGACACCCACAGGGTGAAAGGTCAACACCGAGCTGTTGGCACGTTCATTCCCGCCATATGCTCAACCTCCCTGTCCGCCATATTGGCTGTGTCCACACAATGGCGACCATTGTTATTCCTAACCTCTACGTCAGTTCTCCCAGTGGGAGAGCGCTTAACTTCAAATTTGTTCACTGGTTGTACACAATTTAATGTTCCGTGTTGGCTTGTGTCTCAATGGGGTCCAAATCTACCCTCTTTGTTTACATTTCGGTCAACAGTGATCAGAAATACTTCCCCCCTCCACACCACTCCCCTTCACTCGTCGCTGGTCGTACAAATATTCTCGCGCTCCATCAGGCAGAACCGGATCGAACTGGATATCTGTAATTGTCAGCACAGGAAACAACAACTTCATTTAGCAACGTTATCCGTTATACATCGACACACAGGCATTCTGTACTACAAGCCTGCCTCCGTGGTAGAGCATCCGCCCTGACAGCGAATTGTCCGGGGTTCTATCCCTGTCCGGGTCATACAAAAAGACGTTAAAAGATGGTACTTGTTGTAACCCTGTCTGGCGCTCGGTATTAAGGGGCTGAGACAAGGATTGGTCAGCTCGGGGTCATTCTACTATGTCTGGGTCGGGCTTTCATGTTAAACTGCGGCATGGTGTCTCAGTGGACTAGCACTATGAAATCAGCATTAGTCCGGACTAGTACAACCAGCCACACACACCTGACATGTACCACTACCCTGTCCACTACTGCGACTGTTGGTGGTGGTAGTGAGCCAGAAGAAGAGACAGGTGTTATGGAACGTTTGTGTACTCGGGTGGTGTCGACCTTAAAGCCTCATCACTTTAGCTTGCTCCTCGGCTAATGTGATAACCAGAGATCCCGGTGTAGCCTGTAACCACGTGATAAAACTAAGTATCTATATCTATTTTTTTTAACAAACATTGAGGTAACTTAACGAGAGATGCGATCAGAAACCAGTAACGGCACAGACATTATTTCGCAGCATTCCGGGCGCCTCTGTGTGCATGTCGCTCACATCATCGACTGAAGATTGTTCCAGTGAACAGTAAGTTGTTCTGGGTGCGCACACTTTCCTTTCTGCATCAAAGAAACCACTGGGCATGGCTAACGTAAAGATTCCATAAGTGCTAAGCGAGGCAGAGCGACATTAATGAGTATAAATTCGTACATGTTATGAGCCAATACCTTTTGTGCTCCATATTTTAACATCACCTCCTAGTACACATGCCTCTTAAACGCCCATGCAGCACGCATGAACATGCAATAAAAGGGACGTAATAAAATCACCAAAGGTTAACCAACAATCTAGGGGGTATGTTCAAAGTCGCACATCTCTCCTAATGTCTTTGAGCAGAGCTGCGTCAATAATATTAACTTAATGACTCGAAAACCGATTCCACAATGAAATTTCAATAAAACAAACACCAATTACCAGAGCGTCTTACCATATGCTTTACGTCGTTTCCTAATTTTGGAGCAACTGCAATATATGGCGATGCTCATTGTTTCCGTGTTGGTTACTCTGTGTCATACTAACAACTGCAATATATGGCAATGCTCATTGTTTCCGTGTTGGTTACTCTGTGTCATACTAACAACTGCAATATATGGCAATGCTCACTGTTTCCGTGTTGGTTACTCTGTGTCATACTAACAACTGCAATATATGGCAATGCTCACTGTTTCCGTGTTGGTTACTCTGTGTCATACTAACAACTGCAATATATGGCAATGCTCACTGTTTCCGTGTTGGTTACTCTGTGTCATACTAACAACTGCAATATATGGCAATGCTCACTGTTTCCGAGTTGGTTACTCTGTGTCATACTAACAACTGCAATATATGGCAATGCTCACTGTTTCCGTGTTGGTTACTCTGTGTCATACTAACAACTGCAATATATGGCAATGCTCACTGTTTCCGTGTTGGTTACTCTGTGTCATACTAACAACTGCAATATATGGCAATGCTCACTGTTTCCGTGTTGGTTACTCTGTGTCATACTAACAACTGCAATATATGGCAATGCTCACTGTTTCCGTGTTGGTTACTCTGTGTCATACTTACAACTGCAATATATGGCAATGCTCACTGTTTCCGTGTTGGTTACTCTGTGTCATACTAACAACTGCAATATATGGCAATGCTCACTGTTTCCGTGTTGGTTACTCTGTGTCATACTAACAACTGCAATATATGGCAATGCTCACTGTTTCCGTGTTGGTTACTCTGTGTCATACTAACAACTGCAATATATGGCAATGCTCACTGTTTCCGTGTTGGTTACTCTGTGTCATACTAACAACTGCAATATATGGCAATGCTCACTGTTTCCGTGTTGGTTACTCTGTGTCATACTAACAACTGCAATATATGGCAATGCTCACTGTTTCCGTGTTGGTTACTCTGTGTCATACTAACAACTGCAATATATGGCAATGCTCACTGTTTCCGTGTTGGTTACTCTGTGTCATACTAACAACTGCAATATATGGCAATGCTCACTGTTTCCGTGTTGGTTACTCTGTGTCATACTAACAACTGCAATATATGGCAATGCTCACTGTTTCCGTGTTGGTTACTCTGGGTCATACTAACAACTGCAATATATGGCAATGCTCACTGTTTCCGTGTTGGTTACTCTGTGTCATACTAACAACTGCAATATATGGCAATGCTCACTGTTTCCGTGTTGGTTACTCTGTGTCATACTAACAACTGCAATACATGGCAATGCTCACTGTTTCCGAGTTGGTTACTCTGTGTCATACTAACAACTGCAATATATGGCAATGCTCACTGTTTCCGTGTTGGTTACTCTGTGTCATACTAACAACTGCAATATATGGCAATGCTCACTGTTTCCGTGTTGGTTACTCTGTGTCATACTAACAACTGCAATATATGGCAATGCTCACTGTTTCCGTGTTGGTTACTCTGTGTCATACTAACAACTGCAATATATGGCAATGCTCACTGTTTCCGTGTTGGTTACTCTGTGTCATACTAACAACTGCAATATATGGCAATGCTCACTGTTTCCGTGTTGGTTACTCTGTGTCATACTAACAACTGCAATATATGGCAATGCTCACTGTTTCCGTGTTGGTTACTCTGTGTCATACTAACAACTGCAATATATGGCAATGCTCACTGTTTCCGTGTTGGTTACTCTGTGTCATACTAACAACTGCAATATATGGCAATGCTCACTGTTTCCGTGTTGGTTACTCTGTGTCATACTAACAACTGCAATATATGGCAATGCTCACTGTTTCCGTGTTGGTTACTCTGTGTCATACTGACAACTGCAATATATGGCAATGCTCACTGTTTCCGTGTTGGTTACTCTGTGTCATACTGACAACAGTGCTTATAAACTATTGCCAAGATTAAAGGACACATGTATATTTCCTTCGGTTTATATATCCTTTCCACCCCATATATATAACTAGTCACGTAGGTTTAGTGTTCACTATAACTAGATATGTAGGTTTAGTGTTTTCTATAATTAGATATATGTTTGTAGGGTTTTCTATAAGAGGTATGTAAATCTAGTGTTCTCTATAACTAGTTATGTAAATCTAGTGTTCTCTATAACTAGTTATGTAAATCTAGTGTTCTCTATAACTAGTTATGTAAATCTAGTGTTCTCTATAACTAGTTATGTAAATTTAGTGTTCTCTATAACTAGTTATGTAAATCTAGTGTTCTCTATAACTAGTTATGTAAATCTAGTGTTCTCTATAACTTGTTATGTAAATCTAGTGTTCTCTATAACTAGTTATGTAAATCTAGTGTTCTCTATAACTAGTTATGTAAATCTAGTACAGCTGACATGTTAGTTTATTGTTCTCAATAAATAGTTATGAAAGATAAGTGATCTTTACAACCAGTTATGTAAATAAAAGCGACAAAACCCTTACCATATTCATAAGACATTATAAGGCAAAAGCAGAATCGATTGTGCGATTCCGATCATATCATGAGCATGTGTTCATGAACCACTATAGTTTAGTAACTA